GCCGTCGCCCACCATCTGCACGGCTTCCCCAAGCCAAGTAGCCACAGACGGCCAGGAACTGGGTGATTCTAAACTCAATTGCCTAATAGCCTCATGGTGTGCCTGTCACTGAGCGACAAAGGGAGAGAACTTCTGCCCTAACACCAGCTAAAACCTAACCAACTGGTATCAAGAAACTGTTCCCCAAGGGCTACGGACCCAAAAAGGGCCCAATCCTGAACTCACTTCAATGAAAATACAAGCCAATAGCCAGTTTTAGGTGATGAAGGAGCAGAGTGAGTACCTTGATGTTCATGGCCACCAGGCCAATCTCGAAGCCCTCGTCTGTGCCGAGTCTCTCAGCAATGTCCTGCAGGACAGCCTCACAGGCCTCTGCTGGAGCCCGGCCCTGTGGGCACAGAGAGCACGTAAGCACCTGGCCGCAGTAATGGTGCCTTTCAGCGTCTGCCGGCTTCTGTCAAGTTGATTTACCAGCATCCCCGCAACACCCCCCTCCATGCAGATCCATTAGAGTAGAAATGTCAACTTGGGAGGTCAAATATAACCTCAAAATTTTAGAAGCCTAGTTTATCCTATCCTACCAGCTGGTCAATAGTACCTTTCTATCTCTTAGCAACGCTGGGGTGCACTTATCGAGATTGTCACACACCAGTAGGGGCGTTACCTGCTTCATCAGCTGCACAGCATGGTAACTCGGGCAGTAGGACATGATTTTATCCCCGTCACCTGTGGCTAATTGTGAAGGAGTAATATGGGAGCAGTTAAACAAACAGAGGCCTGCTCAGTCTTGTCTTTTACCTAACAAACATAAACCAATAAGTGAGCTAGGATCAACTGGGATCAACTGGTTAAGGAATCCAATACAGGGACTGAGAGAATCCTCCCCACTGCTCACTGGCTGATTTAGGTACGAGCGACACGGGCAGCCGCGCAGGACGCCACCTTTCCAGCGGCTGCATGGAGTGGGCGCATTTAAAAAAAAAAATAATAAAATAAAAATGGTGACATTTACGCAATCGTTTTCTCTCATTTGCACGTCACGTCAATGGTATGATGTCACCGTGTGGGTCAATGAACCTTATGGCAGTGACCCCCCTGCCTCTAGTTCCTGAGCTAGGCTGTTAACCACTCAGAAGTATGATATAGGCAGGGGGGCGGGGTTAGATTGACCTCGGGTCGCCCCATTGGAATCCCGAGGTAGGGGGAGCGGGAGGAATTAATTAAACAGCGCACCTCTAACTCTGTACAGTATCAGTGCAATTAGTAAAATTAGGTTTACATTTGTATTGTTCCAAATGTCTTAATAAAAATGACAGGGCTGAATAGTGCTTTTCTTTGTTGGCAGGGGGGTAGGGGTGGGAGATAGACATACCATTTGTGTTGGGGGGAGAAGGGGCTGTCTTTTTCTTCCTTGCATTTTTAATTTGCTTCCAAGTTACGAGGCTGTGAATTCAAATCAGCTGTGGATTGTTTCTAGGTTACAGGAACAGCTCCACTAAGACTGCACTTTTTTAAAAATTTTGTAAGCAATTACATGTGAATGGATCTGAAAAGCTGAAATGGGTTGTTTTGCCAGTACGGTGCTAATTCAGGTCTTATCAGTCTTCATATGCATTTGTTCTGTCTCTCTGCAGCTTTTCACACTTATCTCTCATTATGTATTTAAGAGTAGAAACCAATTACCCCTCAGATGCTATTTTTACACCATGCATGCAAGTATCATGGTAAATACACAACAGCATAAATTATTTATCATGTTTATCGTACATATGTGTATTTTAATCACATACTGTCATCCTATGAAGTTATCTTCACAGTTCATGGAAGGTTAAGAAGAAAAAAAAGAAATGGGGGGATAATTTGGGGGTGTGTGTTCACTTGCCCTTTGGTCTGCATATAGACCACAGCCTGGCAGTGGAGAGTCGCCCACCCTCCCAGGGGCCTTGAAGGGGATCCCGGAACTGGACACACCTGTAGAGCAAGATGAGGGATGTGAGATCAAGGGGGATGTGTCAAAAAGAAATGACAGGTAGCTT